TTCATTGTTATCGGAATTCTGAAAAGTTCAATTTTCTGTGTTCTGGTTGTGTTTTCTGTTGCTAATATTTTGTTGTCTCTAAACTTGGTTGCGTGAGAAAGCACAGTGTCTCCATCTATGCCTCCATCTTGGCAGAAGTCTTATTAATCTGCATTTTCCATATATTTCTCATTTCCATAGACTACAAAGTCCTTAGGAGTCGTGTGTGAGCATATGTGTGTATGTTCTCAGATGCATATGCACATGTGTGTGCATCTGTCTGGAAGGGCTGCCGAGGGCCACCTAGGTTTGATCTTGCAAAATGCTTTCTAAAAATAATGAAAATAAAGAAAAATGTAAGTAAGTGAGTATAAATGATATTAGCTAAACTAAAAAAAATACAAAAATACAGAAAGGTAGAATAAGGCAAGACAATTTTACTGATATTTAAATCTTTGTATTGCTAATGCCTTTTCTCCTCACAAAAACCTCAAGAAATTTTTAGAGATCTATTTGATTCTCAAACCACTGAATGTCACAAACACTTTACTGTAATGATGCAATGTTACTGACTCCACAGCACAGACCAAACTCCCCTGAACTTGACAGAAAGAGAAGATAAAGGGACAATAATTATTCCCTCAATGGTGTCTAAACAGAATATACCAACTTAATAAACATTAACATAAGAAAGAACTCATGAACATGGACAACACTGTAGTGTCGTTGGTGATTATAGGGTAAAGGGGATTAGGTGAAGGCAGAAGAGGGTATAAGGTGGATAAATGGTATTAAAAAATAAAATTAAAAACAGACGATTAAAAATAATAATAAAAGGTAAAAAAAGTGTCAAAAAAGAATGATTAAAATAAGCTACTATACATTACACAATTGACTGTCAAAGTACATTAATACTCCTTACTTGAATACACAGATAACATAATCTTATTTTTAGAGATGCTCAGTGTTCATAAAAACACTTTGTTGTCTCACCTAATACTATAACAATTGTGTGAGATAAGTATTTTACAGTGAGAGAAGTACGATTAAAGTAACTTGCCTAAGAAAGCAAGTACAGAGAGAAAGCAAAGACAAATATTTTCAATCCATTGAGCTACACCAGCTAAGGCAAAGACAAATATTTTCAAAGCCTTCATTCACCAACCCACCCTACAATGGCCACTTGGAGAACATGAAGTGTGCGCATTTGATATAACTCTAGGATGTCTCTAACTGTAACAAATTATGCAAAACAGGCAGCCTGGGTCTGGGGGTAATTACAATAATGAGAACTTGAACTTTCATGTTTCCTCACTTTGCAAGGCAAGGTAGTTGGGGGAACTGAGCTGAAATTTTAATGTGTTAATTTTATCTCAAACCAGTTTTCTGCATATTAAGTTCCTGCAAGACCAAATGGGGAGTTTGTGAGTATTAAGGTCAGTACAGAAAATTGACCTTTCTGGGCAGTTAGTTTGCAGCAATGAAATGCCACGTGAAAGCAGTTAGTCTCAAAAGGTCACTAACCTCTCACTAAACATACTTAGCAAGAATTCCTGTTGTTATAGAAATTTGTGGGTAAAGAGGCTATAAAATCTTAAACTATAATTAAAGTTGGAAACAATTTTAATAATCTATGAGTTTAAAACAGTAAGCAATACAATTTTCTAGAATTTATTCTGTCATTAAATATAGGCACTCACATCAGACTAAAGAACTGCTAGTGCTAACTTGCTACCCAGAGTACATTTTCCAAGTGATAGATGTAATTCTTCTCTTTTGTTAACAGTGCTAAGAACATTTGTTTCCAGACCATCCACACTGATTGATGATGCAGAAATGAAGGTTCATCTCAGCTTTCATATGTTCCTAATATTTACAGGCTACATAAAATAAGGCAGATAATAAACAGAGTCAAGTGTTCAATCTGACAACATTAAATTAATCAACTGATTATATTTTGAAAGCATGCTCACCACTAGAAAGCATGTTATGAAATGTCTGTAACATGTAAAGAGAAACTCAAGCTACTTCATAGGCTGTATCAACATATGAAGCACATTCAAAGTTCAAACTTAACTCCATAATCTCCATATAACTTTGGTAAAGCAAGATATACTTAGAGAATTATGGACACTTATATGCCCAAAGCCTTACTATACATAAGCTTTGCTATTACTAAGGATTTAAAAATAAGTTTCCCCAAATAATCACACAAGTACCTGTGAACATAACTCCCACAGCAGAGAGCCAGTTTTCCTGCCTTTCAGGAGCTGTGATCTGACTTCCCTTTCTAGCTGAAATAGAGGTTGCAGTCTCATAAGACTTCACTCCAAAGAGCAGCAGTGGTGCATTCTCTGCACAGTTCTGCCATCAGCCCCAAGCATGGATGCTATAGTAATTTCCTGTTGGAAACTGGATCCCACACTGCACTTTCATTCAGACACAAGGAAAGGGTTAAAAAGGCAAGTCACACATTTTAACAATATCTCTGTACATATTTGAGACAGATGAGAACTAACTCAAATCTCATGGGTTAGCCCTCTGGCACCAAAGTGACTGGGGTTGGGCTGATTTTGCCAGATCTAAAATGACTCTTCAGACACTGGAGCTCAGAGAAGTGGCTGCTGCACCCTCTGGCACCTGGTCCTTCCACATAGGCATATCTTCTTTCAACTACCTTTTCTGCAACTCTCAAGATACACTATTACACTAATTTTCAAAAGTGCTTAGAGTTCATACAAAACACTTTCACATACATAATATCATCTCCAAAAATCCTAAAGAAAGGCCTTTTTCAGATGAAAGAATTGAGGTTTAGATGGGTTAAAATGACTTACCCAAGACAGATGAAACTGGTTTTAAACGTGAGATATCTAATTCTAGGTGTATTGGTCCCTTGTCCATAGCACAGGAACACTCAACACTCAATCCTCACTTAGTAACTCAGGGTCACTGCCCTGGCAAGCACAGTGCTTAGCTCCTCATAGGCTGACAAGTCCTGGGGGCAGCTCTAGCATAGGTAGGTAGTCATCTGCCCTGACAATGCCCAGAATGTGTTACAGTTTGATTCTTCCTAAAAGTCAAATCACCAATCAGGTACTGACAAATTCAACAGTATGTTAGAATCTCAGTTTGTGATAAGAGCAAAGCAACCATTCTAAAAATAGCCATCAAAACACAGGCAGAAGATTGCTGTGGCCTTCAGAGAAAGGCAGAGACTCACTTCCTTCCGTACACACCATGCCCTCCAACCACTTCTGTTTCTTGACACGACTAGTAACCAAGGAAGTTCTCTAAAGCTTCTTCCCCTCCTTCCAGACCTAAGCTTCTATTGTTTTCCTAGTAATCTTGGTAAAATCCTTCCTCCAACAATCTTAAAGATTGACTTTTCCTGTGAAACATGGACAGTCACTGTGAAAACACAAGCCCTGGGTAGGACATATTTGCCTCCACTTCCAACCTGCTCCTGCCCTTTCCTGGTCTAACTTTAATACCACCAAGAGGATTGTCCCCTGATCAATCCTCTTCACCCTTCTCTACATCAATCTGTCAAAACTTCTCTACATCAATCTGTCAAAATCCATTTCCTTTTTTGACAAACAGGTAGATCCTACAAAATTATTGAATAACCTATGATTTCTCTTCTCTGCAGCAGTGATTAATCAATGTTCCAATCTGATAGCTTTCAGAGAGGCTGGATACTTGGGATACTCTACATAAGGATGCATGGTTTGTACTTCTCATTTGTAGGATTTGTAGGCAATAGAACTTGAGGATCATGAAGAATGAATCCTGACAAGCCTATGGACTTCCAAATTCACAAACACCTTCATAGCTTATAACTTCCCTGATGAAAAGCAGTAATATGTAATTGTAGGAGGGTCACTGTGTCTGCCCTCCAATAACAGCACAAGGCTGCCTGAGAAGCAGAGGTTGGGGTCTGTGGGTGCACTGAATAGCTAAATATTTTACTTCTGCCCCCAGCCTCTCAGCCTGCAGGTTTCAAATCCATGCTTCTGTGTACTTTAATGTACTCTATGTCATGATCTTTCTGGGTCACTTCTGGAAACTGAAGAGTGTAAATGCTGGGGATGGAACTGCTGTGGGTCTCCAGAGACCTGTCTCCCATTCTAACGAAGTGTAATCCTATGGGTATCCATATAATTTCTGTGACCTGGAAAAGATGGCAATTACAAATTTTTCTTTATAGTAACAAAATGATGTCAAAGATGTATTCAGCTGTGAAGAAATAGGGGAATAGACTTTGCTCAACCAGAAAGACCTAGTCACTCCAACTCAGACAGGTTTTAGAAGTATGCTGTTCCACATAGTGGACCCCAGCCACATGAGTGCTTGAAATAAAGCTGATCCAAACTGAGGTGTGCTGGAAGTGTAAAAAAAAGCTAATCTGATTTTGAAGACTTACCATGAAAAGGAGGATGTAAAATATCTCATTTTTTAAAAATAAATTGAGCACAAGGTTGAAATGATAGTATGGATACATTGGGTTAAATAAAACATATTACTAAAATTATTGCCATGTATTTCCTTTTTGCATTTACAAATATGCCTCCTAGGAAATTTAAAATTATATACATGACCTGCATTTGATGCTTATATTCTATTTCTATTGGACAGTGATGCTTTAGACAAAACCTAAGAGCTTCTTCAAGTGTTTGCTTTTTGAGAAAGGATGAATGTGCTACAGGTTTGGTTTGAGGCGTTCTTTGTAAACATTAGACTCTTCTCAACAGACATCCTATCAGTTAGTGTAGAGCAAAAAGACCTGGAAAAGGAAGCATGCCTCTAGCTCTGTCCACCTTGGCAACACAGACCTCCATGGACCTCATGATCTCTGCTGTGAGGCAGTTGCTGTGCACAGCAGCAGGAATCCCATTGGCTCCAATGGCTTCACTTTCCTTTACTTATTTCACTTTACAGTCCTTTATTCATTTATGATATAATAATATAAGTGAATATTTATTTATTCATTTATAAAAACAGGAAAAAAAACAACTTACAGGTTCTGAGATGGTGAATCCGCTGCTGGAATGCACAGGTATTTAACCCCCTGTAGAATGATAAAAAATAAAATATAAAGATGATACCCACTATAGAAAAATATTTAAAGGAACTATTCACTAAGGTAAAAAAAATAAAAAGGAGAAGTTTTTCACTCATCTTTTGTTGCCAAGGAACTGGAGAAAAACTCTTTAATTAAGGTTCCTGCTTATCTCCCATGACCATGTGTACAAATGGGCACATCTAAAAGTGAAATAACTGAGTCCTTTCCAGTAAGTGTTAACAAGTGTCAAAATGGTCTGTCACCTCAGGTTCCTGTTCACATATTTCACATTTTTAATCTATTTCATTTAGAATCCAGTTAGTAAAGACCTTAGTATCATATCAACAACTACCACATTATGTTACAGTTTTCTAAATCAAATCTTAGTATGAGGAGAATTACAATTTCACTGATGCACTTGGGGCTTCTACACATTTAAAATGTGATTTCTTTTGCTTCCTTTCTAGAAAAGTAGAAGTTATTTACTAAGCTAATATGTTTTTTTAAAAAAGAATGGACAGTTTGAAAAAACAAACTTAATATAGTTGTTTATAAAAATGTTTATGTAAATTCATGCTGTACAAAAATCATGCTGACTTTGAGTTTTATTAAAAACCTGTTTGTTCTTCACAAGTACTTACAGTATAGTTTAAAAGGTTTTCAAAGTCAAGTAAAAATACAAAACCCAAAAATCTCAGCAATCTTTGCAAAAGAATATGGATTCATGAAGATTTAGATGAATGGTTTTAAACCACTCCTCCCTTGGTATCCTAACCTCAGAATCTTGCCACCAAATCATGGATGGTAAGTGTGTGTGGGAACACATCGGAAACTAGAACTACAAGCAATCTAAGAGTAGATGAAAGACAAACATGCAGAACAGAGGTGGAGACAACCATAGGCCCCTCAGCAGATAAAGTCACAAAATAACACATTTTCTAGAATTATTTGAAAATTTTACAATTGATCATTACAGTTTTACTATTAACTCCTGTCAGTAGGAATATCTGTGCTGAACATGCTAATGTAGTCTCATAAGAAATATCTAAATTTGTAGCTGCCCCAAACCCTGTTACAACTCCATGTTTCAATGCTCCTCCACAAAGTGAACCACGCTCCCAGTACAGAATCCACACAAACTACATTATTCAACCTCCTCTGCTATTAGGGTGCAGACTCAGGATGGGATTTCATCATCTGACATACCTACACCAGGCAGCTTTGGAAATAGGACATGGGAAGAGTAAGATGGGTAAACAGTACTTGCTTGGCAGGTACAGATAGTGGCAGAGGTGGCAGCAGACCTCACTGGGCCAGTTTTGTATTGTAGTCTGGATACTGTTGTTGGAATTTCAGCTGAATTCCTGGTTCCTGCAGCTCCTCTGAGGAGACCACAGCTCTCAACAAACCACTCTGAACTGAAACTGGCTCAGAATGAAATCTGTTGTCTGCAATGAAGACACCAGTAATACAATTCCACCCCCTCTCTCCCACCATTAATGAGAGGCCAGAAAATTTTTTTCCCGACTAAGTTCCTATATATTTTTCTAGCTTTGAGTCAATCGTTACATCTCCCAACAAAGCCTCTTTTGGGTCTTGAAGAAGATGCTTTTTACCATTGCTCAACCAGGTGGGAACACTTCACATGAGATCACACAGGCTCTAATATGTCAAGGATAAAAATTGAGGAGCAGCTATTAGAAGAAGAAAGTGGAGCAGCAGAGTCTTCCTCTTTCAAGTTTCGCTTTATCATCCTCAATTGCTCTCTTCTGTCTCTGTCCTGGTTTTCCTGGACTCTGGGTGCTCTGTTCTACCCAAAGTATTGAGGCAGTTGGCTGAAGTTCTCATGTTCCTCCAAACTCAGACAAGTATTATAACACTAATTTTAAGGGAAAGAAAATGGAAAACGAGATTATACTCTTTAAAAAAAGGGATTTCATTCCTCCCCTCCATAGAGGCCAAACAGGCTTATTGGTGTAGATACACACACTGATCATTTCATACATCTGCCACATAAATGATTCACTTTTTTCTTTTACTCTTAAATGAGAGTTGGCATGGGTCAAGCCCAGAAGCTTGTGGAATTTGTTCCTCTCAGACACTACCTCCACCCTCTTTCAGAACAGTACTTTCAGAAGGACAAGAGTATTTTCAGTTTTCTAGCTTCCCTTCCATTGTGATCATCAGTCCAAGAAACATAAATTAGTCAAGGACACTGAGGTGGATCTTCTATAAGATAGATTGAAAGTGCATGTCTGTCACACATGCTGACTGACAGCCACTTAATTTGGTCAAAATCTAAAGTCAGCCCAGCCTATAGATTGGAAGGAAAGGGAAAAAAATGAAAACAAACAAACAAACAAACAAACAAAAACAAAGAGAATGGCTAAAAGGAGATGCTAAAAAACTCTTAGCTTATTAAGAGCATTCGCAATAAATGCCAACAGTGTGGTTAGAAAGCATTGTGCTTCTTTTAGGCATTAGTGTGACCCCAAATGGGGTCTCATCCCCCTTTGTGGTGCCTGATGCACAAAAGAAAAGGAGGCCAGCCCCACAAGATAGGAGCAAACTGTAGAAAAATGGCAAAGGAGATCCCTCCCTTCCTGAGCTACAGAGGGTGAGGAGGTAACTCTGGTCTGTGGCAGGCCCCTCACCTTTACTAACTGGGATCAGCATGTGGCATCTACAGCTTCTAATCTGTGAAGCTTCTAAGGTGGGAAAAAGTAGCTCCCAGCCACAAGTTTGGGGATCCCCTACCATTAAAGCAGGACAGAGGAAATATTATCTATTAACATAAGATAATATCATGTTCTCTCAAGGATATGATAAAAACCTTCCCTGGAATGGTGTCAGGCACATAGTAGGTAGGCCCTCACTAAATGTCCATTGAATGATGAGAACAAGGTAAAAAACAATTAACATGAAGAGCACACTATAAGAATAGTGCAAGGCAAGAAAAATGTTGCAAAGGGCCCATGTCTTATCCTGATGAACACACAAACAAGGCTGGACTTCTGGCTTGTGTTAAGGGCATATTGCACAGATGTTCCAGATACCAGTCTGTGCCTATCTCCTCCCACTGGACGTGCTAAGGAGAATCACACTGTGATCTACAATAAGATGGGAACAAACATGCAAATGCAGTAAAGAAAGGAGTCAAAACTGTCAAATATTTTCAGCTGCTTGCTTGCCACCCAAGAACATCTATTTATCTTGGCTTAGTCATTAACAAAGCACAAAATGTAACTCTCTTGGAGGCCACAGACTGCAGAACATAAGGTACCTGAAAAAAGACTGCAGATGCCTGCACATGTGTACAATTCATGGCAGTTAATTACTAATTCAGAAAGCAGCAAGAGTGCTGATAGCATGAAAGACCTCAATACTACAAGAAATCTGGATAAACTTAAAATATAAAATTATCCTAGTGGTAATAGATCGGGCTCTGCAAATGTTTTAATGTGATGTGGAATTGATTTTTCATTTAATTGGACCTAAACAAAAGACCATGTCTAGTGCTGAAGTGTGTAGAGACAGAGATAAGTGACAAAGTATGTCTGTCTTTAGCTAAATTATAGAAAGTATAATAAACTTAAAAGTAAAACAAAAGAACATGGACATTCTAGAACAATATGAAAGACTGTTACGTTATAAAAATAGCAGCATTTCCATTTGTATAGCATTTGCAGTATTTACTACATTATATTGCATCTGATATTAAAGAATCTATAAAACTAAAATTGTTTATCTTTTTGAAATCAAATTATTACTGAATAAATTAAAATTCAATAATTTACACTATGTTTCAAAAAGTGATTGATGAAAAGCCTAGTAATATTAAACTTTTATGGAGCTAATAAATGTCAACTTACAGATTTTCAGTTTAGACAGCAGGCCCAAGACTACACTGAAATACAAAAAAACAAATTGAGACTACTCTTTAAGACTATCATGACTTCTATGAAGGAAAAGAAAGAGCAGCTAAATTCTTTTAACTACCTGGCAATTTAAATAGCCTAACATGTTCAGATAATGGCACCAATACTGTTAAGATGGAAGCCAAAGGGAGGAAAAAGGCAGAGAATTATGGAAAAGCCTCTTATATACACTGACCACATGCACACCGAATATTCATAATACCAAGCAACAAATCAATTAGTATGACACAATGTGGAAAACATTAGGAAAATACAGAAAAGTAAGAGTTATGTGAGACCTGCCAAATAAAGCTGTTTGGATGAAGTTTTTGTATTGAGTTTTGAAAGAAACAATAGACATCACTTGGCTTAGAAGAGGGTTTAGAAAGTATCCCAGTGGCTCTTCTTGAACAAAAGGTTAAAGCTTTCTAAGTGCACATTCTCAAAAGTTGTAGTACTGTTCAGTTTTCTGTTTCAACAAGCACAGTAACCACCAAAAGTAAGTTTTGGCCTTTCTTTGGGCCTGAAACTAAAGAATACACCTGAAATGGTATGTAGTCAAGTACTTAAAAGTAGGGGGAAGATGCTGATTTCAGGACTAGTTAAGAGATCAAACTCTTGCTTGTTTCAAGTACAATTTCTAAAATTCACTGTTTTTCCCCCTGAAACATCGCAAGTAAGAGTCATTGAAAAACCTAGTTGACCTTCTACTTTTCAAAAGAAAAATCAAGCCCTTCAGAATCTGTTTTCTCTCTTCAAGAAAAGGAAACAAACACCAGTTATAGAATATAATTATATTCTCTGCAATGACCAATCAAAACCTTAGAGAAAATACAAGGAGAAGGAGAGAGAGTTTGCTAAAGTGCTGGAATTGAAAAATCACTGCAATGGAAGAATTATTTTAGCTGCTAATAAAGTTGACATTATTAAAAATCTTGGTTTTTTCATCTTATCCCATCAAGCACCAGTAGCAACATGGGTGTTTACTTAGGAGAGGTCCCCTTAAAGAAATGCTTTTTTTCTCTGACAATCACATTTATGAGATACCAGGGTAGCATGCTGAGTTGGACTTTGCAGTTCCCAAATACA